ATTATACTACACACACACACACACACACACACACACACACACCCTCCTCTCTCTCTCTCGGCAACTCACTAATTTGGGCAGCAGGTTGGTTAAGTGCGTGTCTGTGTGTGATGTTGTCTGTGCTGTCTGTGTCTTGGTGGTGGTGTGTGTGTGTATGATGTGTCTTGGTGTTGCCTCTGTATGTGACATGATGGTATGTGTGTCTCGGTGTGTTGAGTCTGTGTGTGTTCTGCCTGAGTGTGTCTCAGTGTGATGTTGTCTCGGTGTGTGTGTGATGTTGTGTCTTGGTGTTGCCTCGGTGTGTGACGTGATGGTGTGTGTGTCCCAGTGTGATGTTTGTGCGTGTGTGTGTGATGTTCTCTGTGTGTGTTCCCCACACGCTTGTGTTCCGTTTGACACCCTCAGACAGGAGCCAGGCTGGGTGGACGAGGCCGCAGTTGCCATTTGGGAACCGGAAGGGAGAGACGTGGCCGGAGTCGTGTGCGCATGGAACATGTTGGGAATGACACGTGCACGGGTGTTCTAGCCACGATTCGTGGCAGGCGCTTCTGTAAATGACACACACATTGGTGCGCTCGCTGTGAACCGTGGTTAACGGCACACGCTGGAACCGCACCCCTGACTCCATCTTCCAGGAGCTGACAGAGAGGATAAGGGGTCAGGGCAGGGAGGGAGGGGGGATTCGTGGGGGCTGGAGGCGAGGGGCACGGGGGCGGGGGGAAGCTGATGCGGAGGAATATGGACCTAATGCATGGTGAGCGGGTGGGGAAGGCACCCAGACACGGAGGCAGATCCTTGGATTGGGGGAGAACCCAAAGAGACCTCCCACTTGCTGAGGAGTTAATACAGATTCAAGGAGAGCAGGGTGGGTCGAGCTTGGAGGCCTCTGTCTATCTGTCTATCCCCATACACATCTTCCTGTCTCTCCATCCATCCCCGTACCCCCATCCATCCATCCATCCATCCATCCATCCATCCATCCATCCATCCATCCATCCATCCCCATACACCTCATCTATCTATCTATCTATCTATCTATCTATCTATCTATCTATCTATCTATCTATCTATCTATCTATCTATCTATCCCCATACACATCTCCCTGTCTCTCCATCCATCCCGTACCCCATCCATCCATCCATCCATCCATCCATCCATCCATCCATCCATCCCATACACCTATCTATCTATCTATCTATCTATCTATCTATCTATCTATCTATCTATCTATCTATCTATCTATCTTCCCCCATGACAAGGCATCCGTGTCTCTCTCCTCCTCACTCCTTTCCCTTGTTTCGGGACATCACTCTTTCAGGGTGTCTATGTGGCCTTCTCTACTGGGACGCTGGGCAGCGCTGGCTCGGGTGTGCTGCTCCGCTGGGAGGCCTCGGTTTCTGCCGGCAGCTGGTTCTTTGATCCACAGGCCTGGCTGAAGGCGACCGGCTGCACTAACCAGATGCCAGGCCCCACTTGTCCTCTTCCGGCTTCCCCAATTTCCCCCGGGCTCCACAGGGCTCTGCCCTTTGGTGCCTGGAAGAGTTGCTGAAATTTGGAGTGAGGCCGGATGCAGCCGTACCAAGTGCTCATACTCCAGACACAGGAATATTGGGCTTGGGGTGGGTCTTGCTTTGTCCTTCAAGGCATTCGATGCCCAGGGGGAGCATTCATGGACCCCAATACACTGCCCATCTTCATCTTCCCATGCTGGCGGGGTGCAAACTGAGTGTTTGCCTCAGTTTCTCTGTGTTTTCAATGAGGTTAAGAGAGGGAAAGATACAGAGTCACAGAGCCAATAACAGCACCCAGGAGTCCTGGCTCCCAGCCCCCCCCCACCCCGCTCTAACCACTAGACCCCACTTCCCTCCCAGAGCTGGGGAGAGAACCCAGGAGTCCTGGCTGCCAGTCTCCCAGCATCCCTCCACAGCAGTGCAGGCTGGGGAGGGGGAACCCGGGAGGGACTCCTGCAGCGGGGGATGCAGGGGGCCGCAGGGTGGGGAAGGGGGAGTTTACAGGCCATGGGGGTGGATCAGGGAGGCAGGTGGTGTTAGGAGCGCAGGCTGGTGGGGGGAATGGAATACTGGGATGGGATTGGTGCTGTGTATCAGAAGGGTGTGCGGGGGGGTGCTGGGTGTCAGAGGGGTATGCGGAGGGTACTGGGTGTCAGAGGAGTATGGGGGGGTGCTGGGTGTCAGAGGGGCATGTGTGTGTGGGGATGCTGGGTGTCAGGCCATCTCCTTGCCCATCCCCAGCTAATCTCCCCCCTTCTCCATTTCTCTCCCACCCCCAGGTCGGCTGGCACCGTGCCCCACGCTGAGGACAGACCAGGTGGGCTGGCGCCACCCATGGAATCGCCCCTGGGGCTGCCAGTACGGGTGCCCGCACCCCTCGACTCACTCGGCCTCCAGTCCAGAACCAGGGACTGAAGCCGAGGAAGGAGACACCCGCTTAAGGAAGAAGATCTGTGCTCTGGGAGGGGCGTGGGGTCTAGTGGTTAGCGCGGGGGGGCTGGACGCCAGGGCTCCTGGGTACTATCTCTGGTTCCAGGAGGTTATTGGAGTCTAGTGGTTAGAGCAGGGAACCCGGACTCCTGGGTTCTATCCCCCACTGTGGGAGGTTATTGGGGTCTAGTGGTTAGAGAGTTTTAGGACCCAGGACTCCTGGGTTCTAGAGACGATCCCCTGTCTCCAGCCACAAGTGGGGAGGAGGGTGCTGGTGCAAGGAAGTCCCCGTTGTCTGGTTGGGTGGGTGGCCCCACCCCATCCCCCTGTCAAGCTGGAGTCCCTGAAGCGCTGGAATGAGGAGAGGGTGGTGTGGTGTGAGAAGGGGGTTCAGATCCTCCTCACCACCGTCGGGGCCTTCGCAGCCTTCGGCCTCATGACCATCGCCATTGGCACCGACTACTGGCTCTACGCCCGCGCCTTCATCTGTAACACCACCAACATCTCCAGTGAGGAGATGCCCCACAAGGACAAGAAGGACCCAGGGGGCCTCACCCACTCTGGCCTCTGGAGGATATGCTGCCTGGAAGGTACCTTCATTTGGGGATCCCGGGCTGGGCACTGCTGTGGGGAAGCACACAGCATCAGTGTCCCCATCTGGGCACTGCTGTGGGGAAGCTCGCAGCATCGGCGTCCCTGTCTGGGACACTGCTGTGGGGAAGCTCGCAGCATCAGCATCCCCATCTGGGCACTGCTGTGGGAAAGCTCACAGCATCAGCATCCCCATCTGGTCACTGCTGTGGGGAAGCTCACAGCATCAGCGTCCCCATCTGGGCACTGCTGTGGGAAAGCTCACAGCATCAGCATCCCCGTCTGGGCACCACTGTGGGGAAGCTCACAACATCAGCATCCCCGTCTGGGCACCGCTGTGGGGAAGCTCGCGGCATCGGCGTCCCCATTGGTCTGAGCCGGATACTGGGCGGGAGAGAGGTTCCAAACTCTGATTTCTCCATCTCTGTTGCAGGCCTGAAGAGGGGTGTGTGCGTGAAAATTAACCACTTCCCCGAGGACACAGATTACGACCACGACAGCGCAGAGTATCTCCTGCGTACGTATCCATGGGGGTCCCCCGCTGCACCGTGCCATAGCGGGAATCCTGCTTAGCACACAGCATGGCATCTTCCTGGGGGCTGAAATGCAGGAGGAGATGCAGAGGCATCTCAGTTTTGGGGTTCCCAACAGCTGTAATACAGGCGGGAAGTTGACCTGGAAAGGAACTGGAGTCTAGTCTGGCTTTGTCCCCATCTCTAGCTAAGGTTGCCTGAACTTTCCAATTCCAAGCCCCTTTTTTTAAAGATGCTCATATTGTTCCCCTTCCAGGGTTAAATACCCCAGGCCCTGTCTGTGCTCCTGGCCCAACCTTGTTTGCCATTCCAGGCTGTGCCTTAAAGCGGTTTGGAAGTGCAGAGGCTGTGGAGAGAATAGCCCAGGATAGACCCCAAAACGGTGTAAACTTTGATGTCTTTTTTTAAACGTGGCGCTGGCACCCACACCAGCTGGGGCGCCGGAGTGGAAGTTTGGCAGCGAAATTGCCCTTGGGCCAGTTTAGTTCTTTTCTCCGTCTCTGTGCAAATCCATTTTGATTTGGCCGGGAGCAGCCTACCCGGAGCTGGCTTAGCTTTCGGGCTGTCTCTCCTTTTTCCGGCCTGCTGGTGGAAGCAGATGGTTCGGTTTGGAGGGTTGCAGGGGGAGGGAGGAGGGAATTGCAGAAGAAAAACCTGGGAAATTCCGTTTCCACATGCACAAGGGAAAAAAAAACAAACCAATCTGCGAAGAAGCCATTAAACGTGCAAAGTCAAGGGCTCAGAAGCAGATGTAGGAATACTTCCTCTCTGTCTATATAGATCGGAAGCCGCTAGGGTGTCTCTTGGTTTGTGCTGCACCCGGCATGATGGGACCCTGACCTCAGTGATTCTGTATCTGGGCAGAGCCCAGCATGATGGGACTCCAGTCTTGGTGATTCCCTGTCTGGGCAGTGCCCAGCGTGATGGGGCCCTGATCTCAGCGATTCTGTTTTTGGGCAGTGCCCGGTGCGATGGGGCACCTGTCTCAGTCACTCTGTGACTGCAGCCCCTGGCATGACTGAGCCCCACTTTCAGTTAAGGTCTCTAGTTGCTACTTAAAGATACAAATAAATGATAATAGTGAGGCAGGTTCAAGGTTTGACGGTCATCATTAGGTTTCAGAGTTAACACACCACTCAGCATAGAATCATATAATAGAATATCAGGGTTGGAAGAGACCTCAGTAGGTCATCTAGTCCAACCCCCTGCTCAAAGCAGGACCAATCCCCAGACAGATTTTTGCCCCAGATCCCTAAATAGCCCCCCAAGGATCAAATTTATAATCCTGGGTTTAGCAGGCCAATGCCCAAACCACTGAGCTAGCATGAATAGGGGCAGTTCATGCCTCTAAGAGCTATTGTCAAAGGCTCTCTGTATATAGATAACATGTTACCCACACTCTATGGCACCCCACCTTTACCCTTCCGTGGATTTAAGGCATAATCCAGTTAATTTTCCTAGGGCTCAGGGCCTAATCTTCTCCAGGTTTGCGGGGCCTTTTACCAGTGAAAGAGTCTTACACAGTAATATCCTTAACCTCTATTTACTAACAGTTACCAAAACAGAACACACACGCTAAGCATCACTCCCAATAAGGCAGACGAACTTTTCCTGGTGGCCAGTCAGGATCAGGTCGTCTGGGGACTCGAGCTTCTGGTCGGGTGTTGAGATCTGGCAGCTCTGATCTTGGGCTGTGTCCTGGAGTTAGCTTCTGAACTTTCCTTTGGACTCCAGTTTATATAGTGAAATTTGTGTCCTGCTTAGCTGTACCGTAACCAATTATTTTAAACTAAAGTCCTACAAACCAGTATTTTCACCAATCCTCGCTGGGGGTGCCAGGTGGGTTGGGAGGGAGGTAGCCCGGGGGCGCTGTGGGTGCTCAGGGTGGCCACAGGGTACCACGGGTGCTCATGGGGGGAGCATCCTGGGGGTGCTGCGGGTGCTGGGGTGTGTGGGCAGTGGCGTATGGCCCAGGACCCCCGCTGGTGCAGGTGTGGGGGTGTTGGCAGGGCTGGCAGGCTCCCTACCTGGCTCCGCGCGCTGCCTACACTCCGAGCGCCGGCTCCGCAGCTCCCATTGGCCAGGAATCGAGCGGAGCCATCTGCTAGGAGCTGAGGGATGGATGGACGGATGGGTATGTGTATGAGGATGGATGGATAAAGGGGTAGGGGGGACTGGATGGATGGGTATGAGGCTGGATGGACAGAAGGGTACTTGTGGGGACAGATAGCTATATCTATCTGTCTGTCTTGAACAATCAGTGTTTAAGTGATTTGATTTAACAGAGAAATATTGTATTATTTTATTTCATTTGGGCAGACACCTGGCGACTCAGTACACCCCAGCCCTTTCTCCCTCCCATACGCTGAGCAAAATGAGCCCTCTGCTGAAGGAATAGCAAGAGGTGGCATCCTTAGAGACTCTGTTTTTTCCAAGGGGGCAGAGTTAAGGGGAGTTAGGCATTCTTAACACCAGCCATTCCTGACTTTTGGCTTCCTTAATGTCCTGCCCCAGACTGGGAAATCCCAGGCTCTCAATGGCTAAGAGCTTTAGAAGTGTAAATGGACCCGGATGCTGATTGACTGGTGCATTTCAGACTGCTGAGTGATACCAGATGCTGATTGGCTGGTGGCATTAATATGCTGGGAAATCCCAAATTCTCACTGGCGTTGGAACATCTACAGCTCTGGTTGGCTGCTGGCCTCACAGTGTCACTCTGCTTGCCAACTTGCCTGAGAATGATGGAAAACCTTGAATGCTGATTGGCTGGCAGCCTCAGAAGTTGGATTCTGATTGGCTGTGACACCAGAGCATAGGGAAATCTGTAATCTGTGTGATCCTTTCAGATCTTTGAATAATCCTGCTGATTGGCTGATAGGTTGAGAACCTTGAGCAATCCTGTTCTCCGATTGGTTCTTGACCTCAGAAATTGGAGACTCTGATTGGCTGTTGACCTACCCTGTATTCTAATTGTCTCTTGACCTTGGAGTGTCAAAAAAATCCCATGTTCTGATTAGCGGTTGGCTTCAGAGGGCTGGAAGTCCCTGGATTCTGATTGGCCACTGGTCTCAGCATGCTAGAATACCTGAGACTCTGATTGGTCCCAGAACGCTGCCACTTTCCCATTCACCAATAGGCCGGCTTTGGGGATCCCTCCAGCCACCCTCCTTGACTCATCTCTTCTGCTCTCCTCCCTTCCCCCGCAGGTGTGGTCCGCGCCTCCAGCATCTTCCCAATCCTCAGCGCCATCCTGCTGCTGCTGGGGGGGTTCTGCGTGGCTGCCAGCCGGGTCTACAAGTCCAAGCGCAACATCATCCTGGGTGCCGGAATCCTATTCGTCGCTGCTGGTGAGTGGGCGGGGCTTGTCGGGGGTAGGGCTTAGTTGGGCGGGGCTTGCTTCCCGCCCACCCTGCCTGGCTCAGTTCATGGGGCATCTTGGGCTGGGGGAGGGGAACCGCTGGGAGCCTGGAATATGCCCCCCCCCAATAGCCCCGGGTCATTGGATTTGCCCAGGGCCGTAGGAGTGGGAGGAGCCCGTGGGCACAGCTGGGGGGTGGAGAATCAGCGCAGAGGGGGCCCAGCTTTAGGGGAGGTTTCGCCTCCCCACACTTTGTCTAGGATAAGTCAGTCTCCTCCGGCCATCAGGGGGCGCTGAGCCTGGTCTGACAGTCCCCTGGGACTGGAAAGAAAGAAAGAAATCCAGACCCCATTTGTGTAGGGGTGGCAGAGGCTGGGCGGCTGGGCTGTGGGTCTGGGGAAGCCTCCTCTTGCCCCACACTCAGGGAGGATCTGGCCTTGGTGGGGTGAGGTGCAGGGGTGGGGGTGGGGTCTAGATGGTCCCTGATGGGGCTTCCCCCCCCAGGGCAGTCTGGGTGGGGGGAGGGCTCCGTGGTTGCCTCTCTAATGGCTCTCTGTGCCCTGCCCCCTCCCTCTCCTTCTGCGCCCCACTTCCTGCCCTGGCTACTCACCTCCTCCCTCTGCCCTCTCCCCACCTTTTGCCCCCTCCTCTTCCCCCTTCCCCC